GGCGCCGAGCCTGTTTGTTTGTTTTTGGTTGTAGTTGTCATTGTTTGGCAGGCCTGGGCTGGATTCGAACCTGCCAGCTCTGGTGTATGTGGCTGGCACCTTAGCCGCTTGAGCTACAGGCACTGAGCCTGTTTTCTTATTTTAGAAGACACCAGTACTTCAAGACCTTGAAGGTCTGTGAAGATTATAAATTGTTAAATGTATGGCATATGGGGGGGCAGTCATTAAATGAGACTTAATTGAGGGTAAAACTGAATTTTTTTCAGAAGAGTTTATTCAGAAAATTACACTGACATAAAATTTACCTTGTATTCATAAAAGGCTGAACATAAAATTTCTTCCTTAAATTTGTCTTTGTGAATGACAGATCTTTTTCCTGTAGCTATATATGCAAGTGCTGATTAACTAGGAGCTGACTTACATCTGTGGCAACATGAGATACACAGATATGATTCCTTTGATTACTATAATTTATATAAACATTTACTGAGTGCACATTTGAAAAATCATTGTCTATCTTTAGGAATTCTGTCTTTTCCTTATATTCAGATTCTTGTTCTGTACCCAACATCGGGCAGTTTCTCAGGCTGCCAGCATGTTGGTCAGCGTGCCAAGATTCTTACCTTGATTGACCCTGGCCGTTTTATTACCTTCTGGTGGCTTTTTGTGCCAGAGGCCCAGGATATATGTAGCATCTTTTATTCTATTTTATTTCCATCCTCATTCTCCTCTCTTCCTTCCAACTCCTATATATATATATATATATATATTTTTTTTTTTTTTTGAGAAAGGTTATGACTGACAGATGGTAATTGATAAATTAGCTTTTCATTGAATAGGGGTTTGTAGAGGTGGGTGCTTTGCAATCTGAATACCTGTAATTATTCCCTGCCTTAATTCATAAATGAATTTCAGCTAAGAGGTCCTGAATGCTTATTTATTACATGGCATTTTAGGGAAATACTTGCCTGTATTGCTAAGAGAATGGCATACCGGCTTGGCGCCCGTAGCACAGTGGTTAGGGTGCCAGCCACATGCACCAGGGCTGATGGGTTTGAACCTGGCCCAAGCCTACTAAACAACAATGACAATAAAAACAACAACAAAAATAGCGCGGCATTGTGGCAGGTGCCTGTAGTCCCAGATACTTGGGATGCTGAGGCAATTACTTAAGCCCAAGAGTTTGAGGTTGCTGTAAGCTATGATGTCATAGCACTCTACCAAGGACAACATAGTGAGACTCTGTCTCAAAAAAATAAAATAAGGCTCGGCGCCTGTGGCTCAACTGGCTAAGGCGCCAGCCACATACACCTAAGGTGGCGGGTTCGAATCCCCAGCCCGGGCCCGCCAAACAGCAATGATGGCTGCAACCAAAAAATGGCCAGGCGTTGTGGCGGGCGCCTGTAGTCCCAGCTACTTGGGAGGCTGAGGCAGGAGACTCGCTTGAGCCCAGGAGTTGGAGGTTGCTGTGAGCGTGATGCCATGGCACTCTACTCAGGGGGATAGCTTGAGGCTCCGTCTCAAAAAAAAAAATAAAAAAATAAAAAAATAAATAAAATAAAAATAGTTGGGCATTGTGGTGGGCACCTGTAGTCCCACCTACTTGGGAGGCTGAGGCAAGAGAATTGCTTAAGCCCAAGAGTTTGAGGTTGCTGTGAACTGTGATGCCATGGTACTCTACCAAAGGCAACATAGTGGGACTCTGTTTCAAAAAAAACCAAACACACACACACAAGAAACTGTAATATGCTCAGAATATTACCTGGCACATAGTGCTGTATAAATATTAACTATTACCATCATTATTATTTTTGCTCTGCTCTGGTTTTATTAAAAGAAGCAGCTAGTGTAGTTTTATCACTATTTTTCCCAGGTTTGGGTTTTTTTTTATTTTTTTAAAATTTTTATTATTATTATTATTATTATTTTGAGACAGAGTCTCAATCTGTCGCCCTGGGTAGAGTACCATGCGTCACATGCTTACAGCAACCTCAAACTCTTGGGTTTGAGCAATTCACTTGCCTCCACCTCTCATGTCACTGGGACTATAGGCACACGCCACAATGCCTGGCTGTTTTGTTGTTGTAGCTGTCGTTGTTTGGCAGGCCCGGGCTGGATTTGAACCCACCAACTCTGGTGTTTGTGACTGGCGCCCTACCCGCTGAGCTACAAGCGCCCTAGCCAGGTTTGGGTTTTTAAGGTGTACAAAGGTAAACTTATTTTGGTAGAATTTCTGTAAATACCCAAGACTATTTTGGTGCATGCCTCCCCCCCATCTCCCACAAGCAGTGTTGTGGCTTGGGAGAGGACCAAGGACATGTCCACTGTAACCTAGGCCCAATCCTAGTGGGTAGTGGCAGGGCTGGGTTAGGGGCAAAAGTATCCATCACCCTGATGCAGCCCTTGGCTAGCAGGCCCTGACCTTTACCCTGACTGTCTGATCAGTTTGTGGCCTTTAATAACCAGCTGTCACACTGGACAACCTCTTGTAGGCAATGCATGATCAAACTGAAGGAGGATTTACATTTAAGAATCTGAGATGCTATTCACATCAGTTTGCCATCTTATGCACATATTGGTAGGGCTAAAAATATTTCATCATTTTGGCATTTGCGCCAAGTCTATCTTTTAGTGCTTCACACAATCTTTTTGTGTTATATAAATTATCTCATGGTCAGATGACTGAAAATGGAGCTATAAATTACTCTTGCAAGGAATGGAACAGGAACAATCCATTTCCTACAGTATAAAAAGGCACCCTCAGTCATAATTTTGGATTACTAACCAAGAAATGAAACAAAGTTAGGATCAAGCCTTTATTTTGCTTAGATAAAAAACAGACTTAGTGGAGGAAAGTAGGACCTTAGAGGGACTTTCACATAATGAAAATTCCAGCCTTCCTGAAAAGATTTTATTATCTTTTAAATTTTGTTTTGTTAGCTGCTGATCCCAAGAACCATACAGTAATGTTTGACACGCTGAAGGACTGGTGTTGGGAACTGGAGCGGACCAAAGGCAACATGAAGTACAAAGCAGTGAGTGTCAATGAAGGCTATAAAGTCTGTGAGAGGTAAGCGCTTAAAGCGGGGCATGTGCCGTATGGTTCACCCCTTTGAAGTGTATGATCTTTTCTAGTATATTCACAGGCTTGTGTAGTCATTATCATAGTCAATTTTAGAATATCTTCAGCGTCCCCCACCAACAAAAAGCTCTTCCTACCCATTAGTAATTACTTCCCATTTCCCCCTCAAAAACCTCTCTTGCCCTCCTCCCAAGCCCTGGCAACCATTAATCTACTTTCTGTCTCTAATTGCCTGTTCTAGACGTTTCATATAAATGGAATCATACAATATGTGGTCTTTTATGACTGACTTTGTTCACTTAGCATAATATTTTCAAAATTCATTCATGTTTTAGCATGTATCAGAATTTCATTCTTTTTTATTAACAAATAATATTCCGGGGTATAATGATATTTTATTTATCCATTCATTAGTTGATGGGCAGTTGGACTGTTTTCACTTTTTGGCTCTTTTGAATGTACTAATACAAACATTCATATATAAATTCTTGTGTGAATATATGTTTCTATTTCTCTTGGGTATATAAAGTAAGGGTAGAATTGCCAAATCATATGCTAACTCTGTGTTTAACTTTTTGAGGAACTGCCAGACTGTTTTCCTTGGAGACGGCACCATTTTACATCCCTACCAGCAGTGTATGAGGGTTCCATTCTCCATATCAATACTGACATTAGAAAAAAAATTCTTAGTGTCTCTTAAATATTCAAAAATGTGGCTTGGTGCCTGTAGCTCAGTGAGCAAGGTGCCAGCCACATACACCAAAGCTGGTGGGTTCAAGCCCAGCCCAGGCCTGCTAAACAACAGTGACAACTGCAATAAAAAAATAGCCAGGCGTTGTGGTGGGCACCTGTAGTCCCAGTTACTTTGGACTGAGGCAGGAGAACTTTGTAAGCCCAAGAGTTTGAGGTTGCTGTGACGCCGTGGCACTCTACCGAGGGCGACATAGTAAGAATCTGTGTCCAAAAAAAAAAGAGTGGCGCCTATGGCTCAAAGGAGTAGGAGACCAGTCCCATATACTGGAGGTGGTGGGTTCAAAGTTGGCCCCAGCCAAAAACTGCAAAAAAAAAAAAAATCCCTCAAAAATGTGTCTTTTTTTTCATTATTACCATTATATAGAGAATCTAAGTATAAAACTTATAGAGGCATTTCTGAATTTATCCTGTATATTTTCTTTAATCATTCAACAAAAAAAATTTTTTTCTGAGACAGAGTCTCACTTTGTCGCCCTTGGTAGAGTGCTGTGGTATCATAGCTCATAGCAACCTCAAACTCTGGGGCTCAAGAGATCCCTTTGCCTCAGTTGATTTCCTTTTTTTTAGTGGAGATGAGATCTTTTGCTCAGGGTGGTCTTAAACTCACAAGCTCAAGCAATCCATCTACCTTGGCCTCTCAGACATTCAACAAAAGTTTTGAGTACCTGCTGTGTACCAGGGAATGTCCTAGCTACTGGAGATATAGCTTAGCCATCAACAGAGCACCTGAAAAGCTCTGTCCTCCTGGATTTCATTCCAATGGGAGCAAGATTGTTAATATAATAAATAGATTATGACATATTAAAAGGCAAGTGCTGTGTAGAAAAACAGATCAGGCAAGGGGTTAGGGAATGCTGAAGGGGATGGAGGGAGGGCTGGTCAGGAAGGTTTGTGCCTATGTGGCCTTCGAGCACAGCCTTGAAGGCAGTGAAGGATTGAGTCACAGGAAGCCTGAGGGAAGAGCACGCCAGGCAGAGGCTGGTGTATGGGGTGGTGAGGGTCCCAGAATAGGGAGGAGGGAGCTGGAGAAAGAGCAATAGGTGATAAGGATGGAGAGAGAAGGAGGCCACTGGCTGGTGATGTCTAGAGGCTTTAACGCAGGGGAGCTGGAGCCTGGGCAGGATGTGATCTGACCCTGCATAATCTATTTTTAGAAACTTGAATCTTATCATGTTGGACCATATTCCCTAACACCCTGTTAAAGTACTATAAAATGTATTTTGTAGAGGTCTTTGTATTCACAGTTCTGATAGGCCTCTTAAGATCAGTTTTGACTTTGATCAATCTCAAATATTTACAAAGTTAGTCTCCCCCCCATCATAGCATAAGCTGTAGTGACAGTGGGAGAGGCCTGCAGAGCCCTGAATCTAACCCCAGCCTTCCATTCCCACTGTCATTCTCAGTCCTACCCTGTTCTTTCCTCCTTCCCAGTTACAAAGCTTTTCTGTCCTATGGGGATGACAACTGGAAAGGCTATGCCTTTTTCCCCTTAGACCATGTCATAATTGGCTGTATGGTCTTCTCCAGTGTACCCTGGTCCCCCAACATCTATTCACCACATAGGAGGCCCAGGGGCCTCTCCACATGCATCTGCTCATACCGTTCTTGGCACAGCAGGAAGTACACCTTTGTACTCCAAGGTGCTTCTGGTTTGACTCCAACTTTGTGTCACACCCCTCTGGCTACACTGACCTCTGCCACAGGCCTCACCTAGCAATCTCCTGTCTGGAAGTGGATTTTGCTTCTAGCTATATGAATGTAATTAACTCCACTTTATTGGTCAGCTCTTAGATGTCTCAGGACTAGGTCAGGTGTCCTGTGAGTACTGTAACTGCACTGTATGCCCCTCCTCATAGCACTTCCTGCAATCAAGAGTTTATTTTTTATCTAAATCATTATATGGTTAATGTTTCTGCAACCTCCAGTTCTGTGAAATCAAGGACAGGGTCTATCTTGTTCCTTGTTTATCCTTAGTACCAAGCACATTGCCTGGCTTCTAAGAGATGCTCCCTAAACAGGAGAAAGAATGAATAAATTGATGAGAAGTTAGATGGGGACTCCAATCAGTTTGGATAAGAATAAGAGGCATGGTGGTACACTCCCAGAGTGCTGGGAGGCCAAGGTGGGTGGATCACTTGAGCTCACGAGCTCAAGACCAGGCTGAACAAGAGTGAGATGCCATCTCTAAAAATAGCTGGGCATTTTGGTGGGCACCTGTAGTTGCAGCTACTTGGGAGGCTGAGGCAAGAGAATCATTTGAGCCTAAGAGTTTGAGGATGCTATGAGCTATGATGCCCTGGCACTCTTCCCAGGGTGACTGAGTAAGACTCTGTCTCAAAAGAAAAAAAAAAAAAGGGCTCCACACCTGTAGCTCAGTAGCTAGGGCACCAACCACATACCAGAGCTCCCTGGTTCAAATCCAGCTCAGGCCTGCTGAACAACAATGACAACTACAACCAAAAAACAGCTGGGCATTGTAGTCCCAGCTGGGACCAGTAGTTCCAGCTACTTGAGAGGCTGAGACAAGAGAATTGCTTAAGCCCAAGAGTTTGAGGTTGCTGTGAGCTCTGACACTACAGCACTCTACCCGGGGTGACAGCTTGAGACTGTCTCAAAAAAAAAAAAAAAAGAAAAGAAAAAAACTGAGTGTCTACTTCTCCTTTTCATAAGGCCAGAGCGATATATTCCAGTACTGTAGGTCTATTTCTTTCTTTTTTATTTTTTGTAGAGACAGAGTCTCACATTATCACCCTCAGTAGAGTGCTGGTGTCACAGCTCACAGCAACCTCCAACTCCTGGGCTTAGGCAATTCTCTTACCTCAGCCTCCTGAGTAGATGGGACTACAGGCACCCGCCACAATGCCCGGCTATTTTTTTGTTGCAGTTTGGGCCTGGGCTGAGTTTGCACCCACCACCCTCGGTATATGGGGCTGGCATCCCACTCACTGAGCCACAGGCACCACCTAGGTCTATTTCTTTTCTTTTTCATTCTCCTCCCCAAACACCTTTCTCTCATCCCACCTCCCTGTAAAGACATAGGAAGGTATACAGCCCTGTAGGAACTGTACAACACAGAGGGATCTCTGAAATGGTGCTGGCACGGGGAGACATAGCTGCTCCAGGCTTGTGCCTGAGTGGATCATACATACAATTTTGCATGAAGTAAAATCATGCTGTGGCCAGGTGCAGTGGCTCACGCCTGTAATCCTAGCACTCTGGGAGGCCAAGGCGGGTGGATTGCTTGAGCTCATAAGTTCGAGACCAGTCTGAGCCAGAACGAGACCTCATCGCTCAAAAAAAAATAGCCCAGTATTGTGGCAGGTGCCTGTAGTCCCAACTACTCAGGAGGCTGAGGCAAGAGAATCACTTGAATCCAAGAGTTTGAGGTTGCTGTGAGCTATGAAACTACAGCACTCTACTGAGGGCAACAAAGAGAGGCTCTGTCTCAAAAAAAAAAAAAAGCTGTATTTGGAGAGCTGTTTACTTTGTATTCTAAACTCATCCTAATGACTAGAATGATGGCTTTGCAAGGAGAAAGGATTAATTGCTTGTATCCACAGGGAGTCTCACAGCAAAGACTCCCCAGAATCCAGCTGGAAATGAGAGGGTAGGAAAGGACAGCCTCAGAGGCAGCGCTCTTCCTCTGTGTACAGCTGCCTCTGCTGCGTGAGGAATGCTGCACTTGCTAATACAATGGGTTCTGACTTTTTACTTTCTTTTCTTTTTTCATTCTCCAGAGTCTTGCTCTGTTGCAGACTGGAGTACGATGCCATCATCATTGGTCACTGCACCCTCCAACTCCTGGGCTTGAGTGATCCTTCTTTCTCAGCCTCCCAAGTAGCTGGGACTATAGGTTTCTGCAATTGTGGCTGGCTAATTTTTCTATTTTTGCAGAGATGAGTGTCTCACTCTTGCTCAGGCTGGTCTCAAACTCCTGACCTCAAGCAATCTTCCCAACGCTACCTTCCAGAGTCCTAGGATTATTGCCATAAGCCATGGATCCTGGATGTTTCTGACATTTTTTTAGTCTTTAGCAGGCCCCAACTGGGCTTGAACTGCCAGCCTTGGTGTATGTAGCTGGTGCTCTACTCCCTGAGCTACAGGTGCTGAGCCTGTTTCTGACTTTTTTTGAGTAAAAAACTCTAATAGAAAATTAACTGTGGAGGCTCGGCACCTGTAGCTCAGCAGCTAGGGCACATGCACAGGAACTGGCAGGTTTGAATCCAGCCCGTACCTGTCAAACAACAATGACAACTACAACCAAAAAATAGCTGGGCCTTGTGGGAGGTGCCTAAAGCCCCAGCTACTTGGGAGGCTGAGGCAAGAGAATCATTTAAGCCCAAGAGTTTGAGGTTACTTTGAGCTGTGACACCCTGGCACTCTACCCAGGGTGACAGCTTGAGACTCTATCTCAAAAAAAAGGAAAAAGAAAAAAATTAACTGGGGAACTAACATTATAAAATATTCATTTTTACATTTTTACTGATTGGGGAAGACCTGCAAACTTTTTTTTTTTTTGAGACAGAACCTCAAGCTTTTCCCCTGGGTAGAAGGCTGTGATATCACAGCTTGCAGCAACCTCCAACTCCTGGGCTTAAGCGAGTCTCCTGCCTCTGCCTCCCAAGTAGCTGGGACCACAGGCGCCCGCCACAACGCCTGGCTATTTTTTGGTTGCAGCCATCATTGTTGTTTGGCAGGCCCAGGCTGGATTAGAACCTGCCACCTTAGGTATATGTGGCTGGCACCTTAGCCACTTGAGCCACAGGCGCCGAGCCCCTGCAAACTTTTAAAACCATGTGGCCTCAGTCCAGCTTTGTAGCATGAGCCACTGAGGAAGGAGCTGAGAATCAAGTTTAAACAACCTCACAGGTGATTCCTGAAAAGGTTGAGAAACAGTGGCCTGTTCGCAAGTTACCATCTAGAGTGGTTCTTCTCAGGCTGGGTGTGGTGGCTCATGCCTATAGGTCTAGCACTCTGGGATGCCGACACAGATGGATTTCTTGAGCTCAGGAGTTTGAGACCAGCCTGAGCAAGAGCGAGACCCCGTCTACTAAAAATTGAAAAAACTAGCTAGGCATAGTGGCACATGCCTGTAGTCCCACCTATTGAGGAGGCAGAGACAAGAGAATTGCTCAAGCCTAAGAGTTTAAGGTTGCTGTGAGCTACGACGTCATTGCACTCTACTTAGGGTGGCAGAGTGAGGCTCTGTCTCTAAAAAAAGGGGGTGCTTCTCATAGTTTAGTGGGCATCTAAATCATGTAAGGATTTTATTGAAATGCAGAGTCTGATTCAGTAGTGGGGTGACACCTAAGAGTCTGGTCTCCTCATAAGTTTCCAGGTCATGTCATGGTATAGTTGAGTAGCAGGATCTTCTAGAACTATGGTCCCCAACCCTTAGGGCCGCCATGAACTGGTCCAGTCTATGGCTGCACAGCAACAAGTGAGCAGCCGGCAAGCAAGGCAGCGAAGCGTCTGTATTTACAGCTGCTCCTCATTGCTCACGTCACTGCCTGAGCTCCGCCTCCTGTCACATCAGCTTTGACATTAAATTCTCATAGGGACGTGAACCCTGCTATAATCTGTGCATATGAGAGAAGTGCACACACCAGCTCCCTCGTGATCTGAGGTGGAGATGTAATGTGCTTGAATCATCCCAAAACCATCCTTCCTCACCCCTAATCCATGGAAATATCCATAAGACACACTGGTCCCTGCTACCAAAAAGGTTGGGAACCACTGCTCTAGAACAATAGTTAATAGTACCCAGTTTTCGGTCTGGCTAAATAATTCAAGTGCTTTTAAGCTTTTGATTTAATAGTTCTGGCACCTGGGCATTGGGGGTTTGTTAATGGTCTCATTGATTTTAAAGAGCAGACTGAATTTTAGAGCATTGACCTGTGAAGAGGTCACTCACTGACTGCACCTGCAGAAGGGGTGCTGTAGCGTTCCCGCATCCCTGCAGTCAGGTGCGAAGATACTGTAGGCTCTTTAGGAGCCAAGTAGTCTTCACTGTTTTGATGGTTTGAGGTATCTCAGCCTTGACCAGTGATTCTCAGACTTGGTTTACATCACAGTCATGTGGAAAGTCTTTTTTTTTCTTAACTACCTTTAAGGATATTTTAAATTAAAAATTTCAAGTAGTATAAAAGAAAAGAGGATTTGCTGAATTCCCCTTTACACCTTACCCAGACAGCAGTTGTTAACTCGTGGGTAACCCTGCTTCATACCACCGATTACCCCCTCCCTTATATTATTTTGAAATAAATCCCAGAGCTCATGACATTTTCATAAATATTTTAATATGTATCTCTAAGAATTAAAGATTAATTCCTTATAATTAATTCTGATTAAGTAAATATATATAACCATAAAATCATTACCACACTTTTTGAGTTTCACACTAATGCTTTAATATCCATTAAATTAGGGTTCAGATTTTCTCTAGTGTTTTATGAATTGTTAGAGCAGTTTCTCTTTCTTTGTTTTTCTGTTTTATCATTAATAAAGATTTAATGAGATTGATATTTTGGAGATAGTTGATAAGTTTCTTAAATTATTTAACTTACAGTTCTGGTTTTTGTTTTGTTTTGTTTTGTTTTGTTTGTTTTTGAGACTGAGTCTCATTATGTTGCCCTCGGTAGAGTGTTGTGACATCACAGCTCATAGCAACCTTAAACTGTTCGGCTTAAGCAATTCTCTTGCCTCAGCCTCCCAAGTAGCTGGGACTGCAGGCGCCCACTACAACACCCAACTAGTTTTTGTTATAGTTGTCATTGTTGTTTAGCAGGCCTGGGCTGGGTTCGAACCTGCCAGCTCTGGTGTATGTGGCTAGCGCCCTAACTAGTAAGCTAGGGGCACTGAGCCCAACTTATGGATTCTTATGCCATCATATTTTTTCTTATAATTAGTTAAAGCAGCCAGGCCATTTATCTAGTAGTTTCCCACAGCCTAGATCTTTTTTTTTTTTGAGATAGGATCTTACTCTGTTGCCCAGGCTAGAGAGCAGTGGTGTAATCCCAGCTCACAGCAACTCAAACTCCCAGGCTCACAGGATCCTCTCGTTTCAGCTTCCCAAGTAGCTAGGAATACAGACACGTGACACTATATCCAGCAGATATATAACTTTTATTTGGTAGAAGTGGTAGTTTTGCTATGTTGCCCAGGCTTATCTTGAACTCCTGAGTTCAAGCCGTCCTCCTGCCTCTGCCTCCCAAAGTGCCAGGATTACAGGTATGAACCACCTTGCCTGGGCCCACACTCTGAATTTTGATGGCCACAGCCCTGTGGTGATATTTAGTGTGTTGCTCCATCTTCGGTGACTTGACTGGGTCTCATGGGTCGATCACATTTTAGTTCTTTTTTTTTTTTTTTGAGACAGAGACTCAAGCTGTTCCCCTGGGTAGAGTGCCGTGGCTTCACAGCTCACAGCAACCTCCAACTCCTGGGCTCAAGCGAGTCTCCTGCCTCCGCCTCCCAAGTAGCTGGGACCATAGGCGCCCGCCACAATGCCCAGCTTTTTTTTGGTTGCAGCCGTCATTGTTGCTTGGTGGGCCCAGGCTGTATTCAAACCTGCCACCTTAGGTGTATGTGGCTGGCGCCTTAGCCACTTGAGCCACAGGTGCCAAGCCTCACATTTGAGTTCTGATCCCTTAACTGTGAAAGTCCATCTTTACCATGACTTGGATACTTAACAGATCTCTGTCAAATGTGCAGCACTTTTACAAAACCATCCAGTTATTTTCTGTTGTTATTTAACACCATAAGCACCTTTTTCCTCATGAGATTTATTTGTAGCTCTTTGAGGAAAGATGTTTACAGACTCACAGTGACTGGATTTAGGCAGGTTCTTTTTAATAGAAACCTACATCTGCTGACTAAAAGAAGAGGTGGTGTTCCCATGTATCTTTAATCTTTGCAACTCAAAAAGCCTAACTCTACCATATCCTGCTACTTAACAGATTTGTTCTTTTTACAGACTAAATTTTCTCCTGTAGAAATTGAAGTCATGCTGCTTGGGTTCAGATCTCAACCCCACCACACATCTACTAGTTGTCTAAACCAGGAAGGGTCTTAGCAGCGTTGTGTCTCAATTCCTTTATCATTAAAATGGAAATAATAACAGTATATGCCTTGTAAGATTGTTAGGATTAGATGAATCATTTGTGTTAAATAACCAGAACAATGTCTGGCACATAGGCGCACTTGAATGTTGTTTTCAGAGCACTTGATGAAATGTTTAGGCAGCAGTCATCATAATGACTGATTTTTATATAGATGTTTGTATGCTTACTATATAGGAATAATCATTCCCAATATGGAATTCATACGCTTTTAGGTATCATATGGTTTTTTTTTTTTGAGACAGAACCTCAAGCTATCCCCCTGGGTAGAGTACTGTGGCATCATAGCTCACAGCAACCTCCAACTCCTGGGCTCAAGAGAGTCTCCTGCCTCTGCCTCCCAAGTAGCTGGGACCACAG